TTCGTCGTGGCGCGCGGCCTGGCCCTGCAGGCACGGCAGGCCTTGGAAGTTCAGCAGGCCAAGCTGAAGGAAGTGAGGGACCGCCTGGACCGCGTCTCCAGGGAGGACAGCCAGTACCTGGAACTGGCGACTCTGGAGCACAGGATGCTGCAGGTAGGCACCTCCTCACCCCGATGGGGACCTCTGCCCCGTGGCCAGGTGGGAACCGTGGTCGGTCTGGTGGTCAGGCCTGGTGAGCAAATGGACTGGAGGCTGCTGTGGAGGCAGAGGGCCACGGAGGCTTCCAGCACCTGGCCACCACTTCCTCCTGGAGCGCAGGTCAGCAGCCCCGGGCAGTATAGTCTGCGACCCAGATCCCAGGACACCATGCAGGGGCCCAGGAAGTGATAGACACTTCCCTCCCCATGGCCACGCCACGCAGTTAGGAGTCTGGCCAGACCCAGGTCTGCTCGGGTGGTTTCCCGCTGCTCCCGGGTCCTCTGCTGTCCCAGCGGCCAGGGTGAGGAAGCTTTTGTTCATTCAGCATGTGTCGTGTCGCGGGGACTCTGCGCCAGGTGCGGGTGCAGCCGTGTGGCCGCCTCGCCCCTGTGTGACACAGCCTTGTCTGCAGGAGGAGAAGAGGCTCCGCACAGCCCACCTGCGTGCTGAAGACTCCGAGCGAGAGAAGTTCTCCCTCTTCTCTGCGGCTGTGCGGGAGAGTCATGAGAAGGAGCGCACAAGGGCCGAGAGGACCAAGAACTGGTCCCTCATCGGGTCCATCCTGGGGGCCCTGATCGGCGTGGCGGGCTCCACCTACGTGAACCGTGTTCGCCTGCAGGAGCTAAAGGCCTTACTCCTGGAAGCACAGAAGGGGCCCGTGAGCCTCCAGGAGGCCATCCGAGAACAGGCGTCTAGCTACTCCCTCCAGCAGAGAGGCCTCCAGGACCTCATGGTGGACCTGAGGGGCCTGGTGCATGCTGGGCAGGGACTGGGTGCTGGGTCCCAGGCAGGCACTCCCCCGAGCAGAGACAGAGACGTGGATGTCTTTTCAGCTGCCTTGAAGGAGCAGCTCAGTCATTCCAGGCAGGTCCGTTCGTGTCTAGAAGGTTTACGAGAGCAGCTTGACGGCCTGGAGAAGACTTGCAGCCAAGTGGCTGGGGTGGTGCAGCTCACACAGGCTGCAGCACACCCAGGCCCGGGGGAGCCAGCCGACGGGGCCCTGCCCAGCTCCTTGCTGGGCCAGGGGAGCTTGATCCTGGCGCTGTCAGACATGGAGCAGCGACTGGAAGGCCGGGTCAACAGGAGCACCGTCTACGGCACGCTGGTCACCTGTGTGACGTTTGTAGCCACTCTGTCTGTGCTCTATATACTGTTCAGGGCCAGCTAGCCCCCAGTCCCCCTCCAGCGGGTCTGACAGGGTAGGCGTGAATGGGTTAGGTAATGCCACCAGTGGGGCGAGCCTTCTGGGGTACACACCTTGGCCTGAATCTGGGTGCCCCCGTGGGGCTCGCCTGTGGGTATATTTTGCTTTGTAGGCAGTGCTCACTTACATTACTTACCAAAGCCTTGTGCTCATTTCCAATTAAAATACATTTTTAAAGTTTGTATCAGAATGAGTTTTGTCCATTGAACGTTGGGATCCCTGACAGGAGGGCTGGGCCTGGAGTCAGGGTGGTCACCCCTGCATCCCCTCTCCTCTGGGTCCCTGGTGCTCTGGGCAGCACCCGTGTGCCACCCGGCCTCACCCTGTCTGGGGCTCACCACAGGCATGGGCAGAGTTCAGGCCGCCCGCAGCGTGAAGGGAGAAGTGATGGGGAGGTACTTCCTGTGGGAGGTGCAGTCCTGCATGCGGCCGGCCCTGAGAACCTCTGACCTCCCTTTTCCGAAGGGAACAGTGACCCTTAGGCTCCCGGGCCGTGTGGCCTTGTGTGCCCTGGAACAGGAGCCGTGGGCAGCACTCTGCTTGAGCTGGAGGCCCTTGATGGGGCACGGGAGGTGGGCAGTGCCTGGCCTTGGCTCTTAGGGCAGAGGCCGATGGGGGTGACCTGGACCTCCTAGTTGAGACCCCCCCATCCCTACCCAGCCTCAGCAGCCCATGCCAATGGCCTTGAGCCAAAGTCCTCCCAAAGGACTTAGGATGGCCAGGTCCTGGTTCCTGAGTGCCATAGGCAGGCCAGGCTGCACGCAGGCTCCAGGAGAGAACCTTCTGCCAAGGTTTGCGCCTGTGGAACACCCAGCTGTCTGCCACTGAGGGAGTCCGGACTTGTAAGGGCTTCCCTGCTTGGGGTGGGTCCAGTACCAGGCCTGGGAGGAGAGGGACAGAAGCCTGGCCTGAGCACCTGCCAGCAGCGGGTGGGCCCAGCTTTAACAGCTCGGCTGGGGGGATCACCCCCGGTGAGCAAACTGGCTTGGGGGGAGGTGTCAGGTTACTTGGCTTAGAGATGGCGCAAACCAGGTCCAAAGCCCGAGCTCTTCCCAAACAGCCGAAGGCGAAGGCGGGGCCCGGAAGGAGGGGTTGGCCGTTGCCGAGTCCTGGGAGAAGGGGCGGTGGGCAGGGCCAGGTGGGAAGTGGGGACTCAAGGCGCCCAGTTCAGGTAGAGGAAGTTGGGTAACGACTAGCTCAGAAGCCAGGCACTGGAGGGACAGGGAGCTCCGGGCGCCCGCAGGGCGAGGGCGTGGGGGTGGCCCGCGAACCGGCTAGGCGGGGCAGGTGAGGGGCGGGGCGCGGGTCCAACCTGGCCCTGGCGGGTCGGAAGAGGCCGGGGCGCTGCACAGTAGCACCTGGGGGTGCGGAGCGCGACCCCACCCGGACCCGACTCCTCCTATCCCAGTTCCGGTTCCAGCGTGGCTCGCAGGTGAGGCCCGGTGGGGCGGGGTCGGGGCACCCACGTCCCGGGCTCTACTCCCCGCTCGCTCCGGGCAGCGATCCGCGTTGCCATGGCTACCGCCCGTGCAGCCCCCCCCACGCGGGAGTGGCCGAGCCC